TTAAAATACTTTTATTTGAAATACTGCCCATCCCTGAATGAACCTAATATATTTTTTTATTCAAAAATTAAATACTACGATTTTCAAACTTTGCTAAGTTCTTGTTTGGATTCTAAGTTTTTATAACTGTTGAGTATGTATTTTTAAACTGAACACCTCTTTTTTAATTTGCATTTTGCAATATGTTAAACGCTTGCAAAAACCAACATTAAAAATATTCGTTTGCTTTAAATTTGTTTCTAAAACTTTGTTAGTTTCTTTCTTTTTTTGTGATTTATTACATATACAGTAACCATAAAGCATGCATTTTTTGGCCCGAACGCATTTTGTTTTCTTTTTGCTTTGAAGACTGAGCATGTATTTGCAATATTTTGTTTCTGTCAATGGATCAAAGTTTGACTATTTTTGCGCCTTTCAAAAGTAATACTTTTTCTAACTTTTGGAATCTATACTATCCGTCACCTTTGAGTACGTATTTTAAGCCAACCACCATCATGAGTTTCTTCTTTTTGCTTTTCTTTTTGGAAACTGAGTATTTTGATAAATTTTCAATGTAGACTATTTTAAAAACACGATAACATATTTTGTTACCAATTTTTCAAAGTATTGGTTTTCCTAATTAATAACACACATAAGTTTTAAAGATTATTATGGTAGCCTGTTTTCTAAGATAAAGAGTTAATATTCACTTTTTAGGCCAATTTTAACGCAGCACCCTTAAAACAATAAAAAAATGTAACAAAACCCATTGCAGTCTAAGTCTGAAAAATATATCGACCCACTACAAACGGTGTTTATTTCCCAGTCACATTTCAAACTTTTCTTGAAAAAAATATATTATACATTTTACCACTTCGGACAGCCGTTTTCCGCAAAATTCAGGGAGTCATCATAAATATTTAGAAAAAGGCATAGCAAAAATATATCGGAAAAGGTATTTCTACATCACCAGGTATACTATTTTTAAGGCAAAATCCGTGAGGGTCGAATTTAGGCCTGGGTCGTCTGGCACTAGTCACTTTTATTTTATTTTGTTCGTCTTGGTTTGGGGCGGGAGATAGGGGAAGGGGGGGGGGGGTTGTCATTTGAGAACAGTTTCTTGTGGTCTTACATTTCTGAACCGAAGGGGACAGATTTTTTTTGAAGCTCCGTCTGGGCGTGCTGATTGTCATGGCTCTAACCGGAAATTAAAAGCCGTGGACGGGAATTCGTTCACTGCCGAAGGCATCCAAATGGGGGAACGCGCGTTGATACCTCGGTTACAGAAGAGGCGTTTTAAGGCGAGCTCAACGAACGCTGTGACAACGCTTGTAGCGTTCTTATCATGTCCGCAGTGTGGAAGCATCCAAAGAGGTCGGGACAGCCTTCTTGAATGTCCCTTCTTTTTTCAGCTGCGCACCTAGATTGACACAAGTGCGATCCTTCTCGGTTGAAAGCATCGTTCATTTTGTAATAGAGAACAAGAAAGTTTCCTTGTTTAGGCCTTTTTTCAAATGTAACAAAGGAGCCATAGCACTTGACGGCGATTATGATAGGCAGCACTTTCCACCGGAATTCAGTGGAGATATTTACCCGCTACATTTAGCGGGGAAATTGCGAAGTCATGTCACATGATTTTGTGACGTCATAGGACACAATTACGTCACGTGAACTGTGACGTGACAAGGATATCAACCATTATGACACGCGACATCATGACATCATGCCAGATTGTGACGTCATGCTACGCAGTGGCGTCACCTTTTACCGCGATGTCGTGTCATGAGCCACTTTGAGCTCACGCCACTTGGCCATAGAGAAATATAGTACTACGTAAAGAGTGGCCACTCAAGCTCTTTCGCGGCCCAGGAGTTAGGGACTTTACTGGCCGTTAAGAGGCGGAACAGTGCCACTTATCCTGAACATTTGTCAGATATAAAAAATTAATAAATAACTTTTTGTATAGAGTACACTTTTAAAATTATTACGAACTTTGAAAACTTTCAAAAACGACTTCAACGGCGTTGGCTATGGCTGCGGCGCGACTGTTGGCTTCGGAGTCGTGGACTCGACGGAGGGCGGATACTTCGGCTGCTGCTTGGTCTGGGTGTTCTGGGTCTCTTGCCTCGTTGTGTGGGTTGAGTTGGTTCCGCGGGTTCCGCGACTTGTTGTCTCGTGCGGGTTTCTAGTCATTCTTCCGTTGCGGTGAGGTGAGATATTTTGTTCAACCCGTATTTTGTTTGTTTGTTTTTGTGAGGTTTGGAGTGTGTCTGTTTGCAAGTGGCGTAGTACGCCGATCCATGGTACCGGCTTTTTCTACAGGGTGAAACAAGGAGACGGCAGGCTCTTTAAATTGACCGGAAAATTCGGTTTCTTAACCTATCGCGCTACGACTTTGTGCAGCGTTGCCCGCAGATGGTGCATTTTTTTCGTAAAATTTGCAAAGAGCGAACTTACGTGAGGAAAAAGTAAAGAAAGAAAAAGGCTTAGCTCCAATGGAAACGCAGCGACGCCACCGGTCTGCAAACAACACGGCGCCGTTTCGCACGGGAGACAAGAGATGGCGCAACAAACGCCGCCAACGAACGAGCATACGACGCCGAGAGCAGGCCTTTTTAGCAGACGATCTTTTCGACTCAAAAGCGGCGCGCGTTCCGCAGGCGGCGACAGTCGCAGAAACAAAAAAGTCAGGCGCCGTAACAGCAAGGAACTGCAGTTCCTTGTCTGCAAAAGGGCCGGCTCTCGGCGTCGTCTGCTCGTTCGTTGGCGGCAGTTGGCGTCGCAACCGCTTGCGCCATCTCTTGTCTCCCATGCGAAACGGCGCCGTGTTGTTTGCAGACCGGTGGCGTCGCTGTGTTTCCATAGGAGCTAAGCCTTTTTCTTTTTTTACTTTTTCTTCAGGTAAGTTCGCTTTTTGCAAATTTAACGAAAAAAATGCACCATCTGTGGGCAAGGCTGCAAAAAGTCGTAGCGCGATAGGTTAACAAACCGAATTTTCCGGTCGATTTAAAGAGCCTGCCGTCTCCTTGTTTCACCCTGTACTTTGAGCTATTTGGAACTGGCGAGCAGTACAACGATGTTAAATTAAAAATATGCGTGATTTCAAACACCTGACTGCCGCCATGGCTCCATTTGTTTTCTCAAGCTCGTTTAACTGCAAGCCTGCCAAAGTTAGGTTTACACGGTTGCGAGCATTGAGCATTGGACGCTGACTTGCTGAAAGCGCGATATGAACATGCGGTATAGACCTTTGCATCGCTTATCACCCGAGCGAAAAATGCTGAGTCGCTGAACTGGGGACGCATGCGCAGCGCCGGATATACCGCACAGCAGATCAACAGCGCATGCTCAGAAGGCGTTCCACAGCCCAGCAGACAAAGATGGCAGCGCGCACAAGGCGATTTTTGCAAAGATCTATACAAGTAAGGGTTCTAGGTTGTTAAAGTGTGCGTATGTTAACCTTGAGTGTACGTTGTACTTTCTTGCATCACGGCCCCACAATGCTAACTAGACCACAGTTTATGGTCGAAAGAAGAAATATTTTTCCCAAAAGTTTAGAAAGTATATGTACCAGTTTTTATGATATTACGGTAACAGGTGTTTTACATTTTTTGTATAGCTGTTGTCACCGGGATGTTTGGCTACGGCAGCTACTGCTGCGTAGCCTGGTGTAGAAACAATGGAAGAACGCTGAAGAAGCCAGGAACGAAGTTTTTTCGGATTCCCCGGGACGACAGGTAATAAGGTCTCCTTTTGTGTTTGTTTTAACAGCGTACTGAGTGCACAGTTCACCTGTGAAAGTGTATGGGCGAGAAAACATAGTGTTTGATCAAATCTCGTTTTATGACTGCTAAAAGCTTTTTATCTGTTTGTAACGAATGCGACTGGAAACTTTCCACTTCGCCCTAAGTACTGTGTAGTGAATAGTCGTGGAGAGTGATCTTAACAAAATTTTGGTTCCCAAGTAGCGAATTGCACGAAAAATTATACATTTTGTAGGACTGGATTGAGATTGTGCTAAAGAGTCGAATATTTGTTTTATATACGTGTTGAAACATTATAATTCACGCAAAAGCTGTAAAGCACTAGCTTGCGAGAAAAACACTGTTTTCTGGCATAGGAAAAATTTACTTGGGCCAGTTCGTCAACACGGACTTAGTACTCAATACTCCATTGGTCTCGTGGTAATAATAGTGATTGGGTTACTACTTTTGTGTTTGCAACCTTGCGCAACTCTTGAGCTATCGGAAATATGATGTATGCGCGCTTTTATACGACTGAAATGCTTTCAGGCAATATTATTTCACTTACCAATCTCAAGTGGCACCAAAATATATAGATCACCGTGACCAGGCAGCTATATGTTTGACCGAGGCGCCCCTTTTACAATAGTGAACAACAATACATGTTGCAGGTCGAAGGCCTGGCTCCAGTATGCGAACAGGGACGACCTTCTGGGTAAACAAGCGACTGAGCTGTTCATGAAGTATCGCATCTGTAGCGATCACTTCTTAGCACGAGACTTCATGGATCCTGCAAAAACAAGGCTGACAAGAACTGCAGTGCCTTCTGTTCACCCCGAGGCTCGCCGGGAAACTGGCACAGTTCAAGGTAATGCTTTGTTTACCTCTACAACCACGTGAAGTGTATTAATAGGGGTGTATTTCGTTTGTGGACATTAGTGCTTCCATTGCTTCAAAACGTAGCACCAGTTTTTAGGCGCAAAAACCTGTGTCTAATCGACAAACTTTTCCAGGCCATAAGCAGGCGACCACTTCTGGCGGCACACCCTCCACCAGCTGCCCCTTGGCGTCTTCAATGGGTGCCCATAGTAAGAGAGACCTTCATTTGGAGACAAAACGTATCTAATCGACAAACTCTTGCAGACCACATGAAGGCGACCACTCCTAGCAACACGCCGTCCACCAGCTGCTCCTTGGCTTCTCCAATGGTTGCCCATGGTATGAGAGACCTTCATTTGGAAACAACAAGTATCTAATCGACAAACTATTGCAGACCACATGGAGGTGACCACTCCTGGCAGCACACCTTCCACCAGCTTCCCCTTGGCTTCTTCAATGGGCGCCCACGGTAAGAGAGACCTTCCTTTGGAAACAAGTATCTAATTGATAAACTATTGCAGACCACATGGAGGTGACCACTCCTGGCAGCACACCCTCCACCAGCTGCCCCCTGGCGTCTTCAATGGGAGCCCATGGTAAGAGATACCTTCGTTTGGAGACAACAAGTATCTAATCAACAAACTCTTGCAGACCACATGAAGGCAACCACTCCTAGCAACACGCCCTCCACCAGCTGCCCCTTGGCTTCTTCAACGGGTGCCCATGGTATGAGAGACCTTCATTTTGAAACAGCAAGTATCTAATCGACAAACTCTTGCAGACCACATGGAGGTGACCACTCCTGGCAGCGCGCCCTCCACCGGCTGCCCCTTGGCTTCTTCAATGGTTTCTCATGGTAAAAGAGACCTTCATTTGGAAACAACAAGTATCTAGTCGACAAACTCCTGCAGACCACATGGAGGCGAGCACTTCTGCCCTTGGCGTCTTCGATGGGTGCCCATGGTAAGAGAGACCTTCATTTGGAGACAACATGTATCTAATCGACAAACTCTTGAAGACCACATGAAGGCGACCACTCCTAGCAACACGCCCTCCACCAGCTGCCCCTTGGCTTCTTCAACGGGTGCCCCTGGTATGAGAGACCTTAATTTGGAAACAACAAGTATCTAATCGACAAACTCCTGCAGACCACATGGAGGTGACCACTCCTGGCAGCGCGCCCTCCCCCGGCTGCTCCTTGGCTTCTTCAATGGGCGCCCATGGTAAGAGAGACCTTCATTTGGAAACAACAAGTATCTAGTCGACAAACTCCTGCAGACCACATGGAGGTGACCACTCCTGGCAGCGCGCCCTCCACCGGCTGCCCCTTGGCTTCTTCAACGGGTGCCCATGGTAAGAGATACCTTCATTTGGAATCTAAAAGTATTGCATGTATGTTTTTTTGCCATCATTGAGTGTAAATATTGCATTCCTTATGGTTTGCAAATGCATTCCTTATGGTTGAGTATGTTTTAATCTTCTTTATGGAAGATTAAAACATACTCAATTTATCTAGTATATCATTAACGACAAGTTCTTCATCGGTTTCAATTATTTGTAGTTTAAGGGCAGATCATCTATAACCCTTAGATTACGTCCGTATCAAGTACATTTGATTGTGTTCATCATATAAGCATGTCTGCTTTGCTAACTCACTAATTTGTATTTTCTGCTTCTGCACTTTGAAGAACTTCAGCGCCTTCTGTCTGCAATAGTGCAATAAAATCCAAGGACACTATAAGGCGTCTGCAGGCCAAAGTTTCCAAGTATAGGAAGGCCCTCCCAAGATTGCGCAAGCAGCAGCAGAAGGCGCCTCGGACAACTTCAGAAGCTCTCAACATGGTTCGCCCTCACGTCAGCGAGGAGGTATTCCAGCTGCTGTCGAGCCATGTTAAGCTGAGGTTGAAGGGCAAGGGAAAGCGATTTCCGCTTTGGCTTAAAAAGCTTGCCCTGTACTTGAACTTTCGTGGTCCACGGGCATACCGTTTGTTGTCTTCCTATTTTACTCTTCCGTCTCGGTGATCGCTGAGAAGATGGTTGTCTAATGTTAAAATGACACCCGGAATCATTCCTGGAATTATGTCTTTCATTTTGACAAGGACGCAGTCTTGGAATAAGCGCGACCGTGTCTGCACTCTCATCTTCGATGAGATTGTGCTGAAGAAAAACCTGTCCTATGACGCTGCACAGGACGTTGTGCTCGGATTTACGGATGATGGCAGCGAACGAACTTCAACAATTGCCGACAGGGCGATGGTTGTCCTTCTGTCGGGGATTTCTAGAAAGTGGGTGCAACCAATCGCCTATACCATTGGGCACACGTCGACGCCATCTTCCGTAATCCGCAACTTACTGTTCTCATTGATTGAGCAGCTAAAAGGCATTGGAATCACAGTTAAAGCTGTGATCTGTGACCAAGGTGCTTCAAACGTAAGCTTAGCCAGTCAGCTGGGTGTTTCTATAGCACAGCCTTTTTTTACCGTAAACATTGAACGTGTTTACTTCATTTTCGATGTGCCTCATTTAATAAAAACAACTCGCAATATTGTGCAATCGCACAGGCTTCACATCGGAAATGAGGTTGTTGACTGGGCACACATAGTAAAGCTGTACTACTCCACACATGAGATGAGACTACGACTGGCCCCAAAACTAACCGACCGACATACTTTCTAGAAACCGTTTAACAATATGAAGGTTGCGCGGGCCACACAGGTCCTAAGAAGCTCGCTGTGTCTCGCACTTTCATCTCTTGTTTACGCAAAAGAGCTCCCCGATTCAGCCAGATCCACAGCATATTTTTGCGATAGAATGGATAAGCTTTTCGACTGCTTGAATAGCTGTTGTCCGAAGAAAACTGAACGAAAGTTGCGATAAGCAATTGGCAAAGGGAAATCGGAGTTAATTGAGTTTCTTGAACAACAACTCCCATGGATTGCGGCCTGGAAGTTCGAGGGCAGGCGTCAGCCACATACCATCATAGGGTGGCAAATAACTATTAAAGCTATCCTCCTGCTCTGGGAAGACATTTCAGAAAATTTTGACTTCGAGTTTTTATTCACGCGGCGACTGCAACAAGACCCGCTGGAAAATATGTTTAGGCACATCCGTCAAAAGCAGGGTTGCAACATGAACATCAATGTGTCCCAGTTCATCTCCGGGCTCAAGCACATTGGGATACGCAAGCTTTTTATTCTTTCAGATAAGGGGAATGTGGAGGATGATGGGGCAGACCTCCTTCAGGAGCAGTCGCCATTTTCTCTTCATGTAGCATCACTTGCAGATGTTGTGGAAGTTTTCCCCCCAGACGACTTTCCTTCTTTGGACAACATCTCTGAATTGGCGTCACACCAGAGTTCCCATGTTATTGACGACTCTGCCACCTATTATGTTTCTGGATTTCTCATCAAATTGTTCACTGAGAAGTCTGCAGAAGGCTGTCGTTGTTGCGAGTTGCTTAGGAACAAAGAGGATACCTTCAACAGGCCCCACCAGTATTTTACCATGCTTAAGACATATCATGTTCCAGGAAAACTCTTTGGTAACCTCACTGTGCCATCGGACGCAGCTTTCACGTTGGTTCAGGAGCTCGAGTGTCACTTTCTTTCCATCATTGAAAGTGTAGCCCATCTTTCAAACGTGTGTGATGTCTTGTTCCGAAATCTCTCATGCATTGGACATTTTAATTTTTGTACTGCGGAGTGCCGCGTGCGTTTTTTAAAAATGTTTTGCAGGGTTCGTTTATGTTGGCATGTGCGTTTTGTGAATAGAAACTTAGACAAGGCTCGTTTTCAATCTTGCTCATCTGGTGCACAGCTTAACAAGTTCAAGGGGTAAAGCTTACCTCATATTTGAGATACGTGTTGAAGCCTTAATGCTGCTTTTTTGAGATATCTGTTGTTTATACAAGCGCTAAGTGTATTAATTCGGGAGTGCAGAGTGCACCCCAGGAATTTCTTAAAACTGTTTGTAACTGTTTCTTTAATTGTGAATTAATGGATTGTGAAATACCTTTTCACTTTTAAGAGTGACAGTTCTTATTGCTTATGATCATGATTCCTAATTTACACAGAAGTGAAGCTTATTGAGAAGGGAGATGTATTTGATTGGGTGGTGCAGAGTTCATGCCAAGCATTTCTTGTGATTATTTTTGATGAGTAGGTCTCAGACCCAGTGTGCTAATGACAGTCATTTCTATCACATGTTGGTTTTTTGCATCATGGTCATATTGAATGGAAGAGTTCTCATTCCCATACTCTATTAGCATAGGCCATTGTATTGCTTTTGTTAGGCCGTCCATTGGCTTCCAGTTCTTGCTATTTTGATCTTAATCATTGGTTTAGTCAGCAAGAGCAAGATATGTTTATTTGAGCAGCGCATATTTCATTCCTGGCATCTGTTGGGGTCATTATGTACGACTATGTCAATAGTCTATACTATTTGCATCCTCCTTTATACATTCAGTTGTTTATTTTTCTCATGACGGTCATGGTATACGTAAGAAGTATTGTGACTGTAGTTTCTTTGTTGACGGACATTTGCATTCGGTCACTGAATTTAGAAAGCACTGGGCCAGATTGTTCTTCTATTGTTGCTGTATTAGTCGCATGGTCATATGTGCAAGCGCCTTTCATGAAACTTGGACGATAATTTCTTTAACTGCCCTCCGTCATATTGCATTTGTCGCTGTGAGGCTCGCAGTAATACAGCACTTTTTTCCAGTGTTGCACTGTTGACACGTTATTCATATATTTTGCATATGTATTCTTATTTTTGTAATGTATGAATGACATACATCACTCGCTGATGATTGTTTTGCTTGTCATAGTTACAAGAATAAATACTTTTGTGGTCAATCCCTGGTGTCGTTCCTCGTCCCTTCAAGAGAGTTAGCACAAATCTGAGAATACCCTTTTCGGTGTGCAATCAGTTTGAATTATATATAGCGCTGGATGACTTTCTTCTGCAATACAATTAAGGTATACCTATAAAACAATTATATTTAAACAAAAAGCACGCTAGTTACAATAACACTTGCTCGTTTAACTAGAGGGCGCAAGCTACTGCCCGATAAAAATACTGTCAGAATTCGCCTTGAATCCATTCATTCATCTGGCCTGTGGGGTGTACGTGTATCCATCCATTCAACACTCAACTAGGGATTATACCGGCCGCTGGGTGTGCTCGCTGACACTCAGGAATCGGGCCGCTGGGGCCTATGGAAGCGTCCGCTCTTTACGTAGTTCTATATTTCTCTATGACTTGGCCCTATACCGTCAATTGATGCTGACGCGTCATGCTGTGGGACCAGAGGGAGCGAGAGAGCTCTCCGAAAAAAAAAAGAACGAGACGTTGCCGCGTCCGTCGCTGATATCTATTCTACTCCGAGGAAGCGGCGGTTTTCTGCCCGTTTAGGACGCTTCTTTTTTCGCTGACGTTGCCATGCCGTTCGTCGTATTTCGGGGTGCCAGCGCTATTCTGAGACGGGCTGCCCCCTTTTCTCGCTTTTCTCCTGTGCATGTGATGAGGGACCTGTCACGCTCTGAATGCCGTGCACTGTAGGGGGCTCCTTTGGTCGCTGATGGATCGCCCCAATTCGTTAGGATTCGTCTTTCCTCTCGTTCCCGAGACGCCCGAGAAAGAGTATGCAGATGAGCCATCCTTGTGGTGTGAGGAACCCATCGGAGGAGAAGGTTTCGTTCGATGCATACGTTTTTTTTTTTCTTTTTTTTTTCATTTTAACTCGAGAACACATTGTTGTCGCGAGGTTATACCTGCGCTCTGGAAAAATGGAAAAGCTGCCAGTAGTTGGTGGCTACGTCGGGTAGCGCACACCAGATCGGGGCGCTCGGAGCGAAAGATCGCACCATACCCCACCCGCTTCGATCTGGATGAGCATCGTACCGGCGTGCGGTCGTGTATCACTACTGCGCGGTACAAGTTAAAGACCCCAGGCTAATAGTTGCACTGCATTGGCCAAATAAATCATCTACAAAGTGTCACAAAAAAAAAATAGTTTTTTTTTTGTTTCTTTTGTGTGTTTTTTTTCTGCAAAAATAAACTAGGCATCGCCGACCGCTCATTTTCCGTCCAAAGGTAGCGCTAGAGGTCACAACCAGATGCCAAAGTTTCAGCCCCATCCAATACTTTATTGAAAAGTTATAAGTGATTTCCTGAAAATTTCAATGGGAAAATGGAGCCCATTTTTGCCCGTTTTCGGTTGCTGGTGCCATAGAGCCCGATGTATTCAAAAACTCCGTCGACGCCATTTTCTCATTGAAATTTTCAGAAAATCATTTATAACTTTTCAATAAGGTATCGGATAGAGCTGAAACTTTGGCATCTGGTTGTGACCTCTAGCATTACCTTTGGGCAGAGAATAAGTGTTCGGCGAAGCCTAGTTTATTTTTGCGGCAAAACAAAAACCTGCATTTTTTTTTTTTTGTGACACCCTGTACAACTGGAAGACAAGTGGCCGGTTGAGGTAGACTAAGTTCTAGGCTATATAAACATACACACACCCCAATTTGTTTTGGAGCATCATGTACCCTTCCGTTGATGCTGTG